AAAGGCATCAAAACTTGTCTTGACAAAATACTCCTTCCACAAAGTATTCATCCTTTCCTCCTCCGTCTATCTCCTCCCAACACCTTTTTGATGAGCTTTGACAGGGCTGGCGGTGAAAGAGACAGCTCACAGTTCACACCAGCAGGAAAAGCATAGTGTATGTTTGTATGTCGCCTCGCCAACCAATGATTGGTATGAAAAAAAAAACAAAGCAGCAGCTCTAGCTCAGCTGTGCTGTCATAAAGCCCGACCTGTCACAATAAATCTTAGAGTGAGACCGCTGACAAGTGAGTGTGCATGCAGTTCAAGCACTGTTCAGGTCAGTGTGGGTTTGTACGAATCAGCAACTCCTAAGGTGTGTGTGTGTGTGCGCGTATGTGTGTGAACAACAGCCATTGTTGCCATGCTACAATAAATGTCAACATATGGGCATGGTCCGTCGGTGAGACAGTTCATCATCTGCCTGCATAAAATGAGCCAAGGAATCACAGCAAATGGCCCACCAGACAGAGAAGAGGTATGTGTCTGTGTGTTTTTATTGGGCTGGAACCAAGGCTGGTTAATATTACATGACTCAGGAAACTCTTCTCCTACACACACATCCTATTTTTAACACACACACACACACACACACACACAGGGTCCCAGATCTATTCTCTAAGTAGGAATTAATGGGAGCTGCAGTCCCCCTCATTCTCAGGCAGGCAGAGCAGTTAATCTGCAAGCTTATACCTCTACTGGCCAAACACTGAGGTTGTGTATGTGCGTGTGTGGTCTGTGTCCAAGTTGCTAAATGCACAGATGCCAGCGCATCCATTCCTGTGATCTCAGCATCATTGGGTACTGAGAGCACCAGCTCCTGCCACTGAAGGGCACTAAGTGAACAAAAAGGATTTTGTGAGATATTAGAAAGATTGAGGGTGGATGTAATAAAAAAAGGAGAGCCCAGAAGAAGAAGAGAAGGATAGTCTGACAAGTCTTCCATTAGTGCCCAGGGTAATCTTTCTCTGCAGGGTGGTACAGTTCTTGGTTAATTCAACATGACAGCCCTGTTCACCCCCTTCTCTGATTGCTCCCTCTCATCCTCTGGTTGCTACGCAGCTGCAGATCAAGGATGCCCATGTCCTTGGCGATTTCACAGAGCCCTGTCTTGCGGTTGCTATAAGTACCTTGATGCTACATAAAGACCGCACACAGCCAGGGAGTGGCGTGGGCACACAATACACTGTAAGCTTTCTCATTAAGATGAACTAAGCAGGTTGAATGCTTCCTCCTGCTACTATTTCATATATTGATAAGATTAAGATGTAAAGCCAAAGCTTATGCGTGTGTGCTGGTGTCACTTTTTTTTAATTATTTTTTTTTTTTTAAATCTGGGACATGGGCTCCTCCCCTTTAAGAAAAAAAGAGGGTTATGGATGGAAGTGAATGACAGGAGGCAATGATTTACATGACAAGAAAAACCAGCTTTGTGTGGACCTTACCAGCAAAAAAGACATGGAGGGAGGGCAAATTATCTCCATTAAGCTTTCAGGGATTAATTACAAAATAATTAGCCTAACCGCTCATTACATACTATTGACATAGGAAGAGACTCAGACTGGTAACCCTCCGCTAATCCACTCTCAACAAGTATCTCCTCAACACTTGAATTAGCTGGGGTTCGATTACAATTAGTTTGGGAAAACACAGCCAGAGGTGGAAGCATTGGTGAGATGTGAACTTAGCTGGATGACCGCTGTGGTCATACTGGCTCGAATCCTGGAAAAAACATCTGAGCCAGGTGTCTTAAGTGCCACATGACATATACCACCATTTCCTGTATTTTGACCAGCTGTATCACAAATAGGTCAAATACTATCTCATATAGACATGAGTCAAAATACTACACAATATACTTTCATTTAAAAACAAGAAATAGACTACAATCAAAACAGTAACCATTCATTTAGAGAGAGTGAAACAGACGATATCAGAATATCAGATAGGTCTTAGACATTATAAATTACAGACAGTACTAGGGAGGTTTCATCATTTCTTTCCGTTAGTTTGATTTTAACTTCTGTCCACTGAGGGTTCAGCCTCTCTTATTAAGCTCAACTAAGAACAGAGACTATGGCCATAAAGAGGAGCATTTCTTTCTATCCATCCATCCATCCAAATCCTTAACTCGCTTCATTTTCTGTTCCTCCACTCTCAACCAGTGTCTCCCCAACACTTGAATTAGCTGGGGTTCTATTACAGTTAGTTTGAGAAAACACAGTCAGAAGTTGAAACATTGGTGAGATGAGAAGGTGAACTTAGCTGGATGACCGCTGTGGCGATACTGGCCCAAATCCTGGAAAAACAACAACTGAGCCAGGTGTCTAATGGTGTAGGTGTGGTGCTGTCTTTGAACTGTAGGTGCCACATGACGTATTATACCACTGTTTTCCTTTTGACCAGCTGTTTCATTATGAATATCACAAATAGGTCAAATAGTGTTTCATACAGACATGAGTGAAAATACTACTCATGATATAAATATGGGAATAATCTTTTGGATGAAGTTTTTCTTGCAAAATAAAAATAATGACATCGTTTTTCTAGTCAGAGTAAGGAAAAGTCCAGTTGGAGAGTACCATCTCACCTCATGGGACTTGGAGGTCTGGGCCACAAAGCCTCCCCCATGGAAGTGGATCAGGAGGCAGGGAGACGAGGGGAGGCGCTTGGTCTTCAGCCCCAGTGACAGAGAGATGGCTCCCCCCTCAGATCGGGAGAGAGATAGCAGAGTCTCGCTGTCCTAGACAGTCAAACAGAGAGGTGGAGAAAGACGAATGAACGAACACAAGGAGTAAAAAAAAAAATAACATGACAGATCACAATGTTTGCATCACTCTGATAACTGTCCATAGACTGTGTACTCTGTAAACATGTTACTTTTATTGTTAATATATTTTAGTGCTGTTTGCACGTGGCTCTTTTGAGAGAGGAATGAACTAACTGTTCTGCAGCAGCTTGCTGCCAGCCTTCCCTGTGTCTGCATGAACAATATCCAACACACTAACTCCCATTCATTAACAGAAACAAGGAGGGAGGGGAGCTGTGACTGAGAGGAAGGGCTTCCACTGATGCAGGCTTGTATTTTGCAACATTAAAAAGGACACTGTTGTTTTGTTGGAGTGTGCTCAATGGCTGAAAGCGTTTGTTCATAGGATTCCTGGTTAAGAGCCAGGTTACAAAGAAAGGAGGAGAACAAGTTCGGATGGAGAGAGGGAGTCTCCCGAGAGAATTAGGCAAGGAGGCGGAGTAGAAAAAATGAGAGTGATACCTATGACGACAGAAATAGAGAGAGATAATGAAGAGGATTAATGAGGATGAGTGGAAGCTGTCGTATACTCGAGCAGCTTGGAGAAATACAAGTTATGCTATTGCATATTGTTAGAATATTTTAAGAATTTGTATGACTGGTGGTATATGCAAAGTGGTTTAAAAAGAGACAGTGGAAGAAAACAGTCATAAAGTAGGTCACACAAGAAATACTTAATACTTAGACAGGCTACAAGGAAGTGGTGTGAGACCAGTACACAGCAAACATAAGCTCTAGTCTAGTTTTGCATAAAATATAAGTATAAAGCTTTTTATTGCATTTTCAACTGTGCCACTGTAGTGTGAACATAATAATGATTTAAGTACCTGCCCTTCACGCAAGTCATAAGAGATCAGTCTCATCTGAACAGGAGCAGTGCCGATGTGCGCTGATGGTGGAGCTATAGTTACAGATGCTCTGTGGTTGGCCGCCAGGGGAAGGTCAAATGGCACGGAGGGCACAGAAAGAGCCCGGTTCACCTTCACTTGAGTGGATGTCATACTGGCAAGACTCTGGAGGAAGAGAGATGGAGAGAAAGAGAGAAATAATTGTTACAGAAAGGTAGAGGGAAGAGAAAGAGAAGAGTGCAAGTTACAGAGCGAGTCAGGTCACTGGAGAGAGAAAGAAACCAGATGAATAAATCATGAACCCCATTGAATAAATTGAATTCCACTTTATTATTACTAACGGCCTGTAGGCCAAAATGCATAATGATATAAGGGTACTTTTACCAGAGGAAAGTAAAATATCCCTGATACCATTTTAAAATTAAAAAGAGGGCAGCACACTGATCTGTGTGCATGTGTCAGTGGTGACAACATGGGTAGATAACAGGCATCTTAGGAGCATGCTTGTCTCTGTGTGTAAAAGTATGCATTAATAGTCTACTCACTGACAGGACTTCGGTCTCAGTGATGTTCCAAAAGGTCTTCCAGAAATGGACGTCCAGGTTCTGGGTGATGCGTTCAAATTCTGCCCCTCTCAACTCTGGGTCGATGGCATATTTCCCTGAGGTAAAGAAAGAGCTGGCTGCTACACCTGTGGAAGGGAGGAAGGATGATACAATGACGAGGGGTATAATAACAAGGTAGGTAGGAGACACCAGAGACAGTGTAATGCAAGAAAAGAAATGGAGTTAAAAATTGAAGACAGACAAAAGCTCAGAATCATGGGAATGAAAACAAGATGTCACAACAGCAGGAAGGAGGGAAGGAATAAGGGGAACATTAGAATTGCAGTGACTGGACCCTAGCACATAAAACAACATCACTGAGAACACAAAAGAAGGAAGGTTAAAAGACAGAAGGAAAGAAAGAGTGCTGGAACCTCAGAGATAATTGAGAACAGTAATCAAACTCAGCAGAGTGACTATAATCTTACTGCAAGCCACATGGATGTTTCAGGTCTACTTTTCTACTGCGATGTGGAAACAGGTAATGCAATTAAATTCTACTCTGCTTCCAATGCTGATAGGCAGTAAAGAACAAGGGGAAGAATTGCACTCAGATAAAATGACTATACCTCAGACAGTAAACTAAACTAAAAACACACACACTGACAGCTAATGCAGCTTACAGCAACTTCTTCATATAGTCATATAGCCTGAGTTCACTACAGAGGACTATGATGAAGGGGTCAGGGGGTTCCAGTACACTCACCATATGGTGCAATACCTCCTGCCTCCACTGTGGTGCAGCACAGAGCACAAGAAACCATGAGAGTCGAATTATTCCTTTTTGAATGTCAAATATTTACGTGTGTGTCTGTGCGTCCCGTGCGCGGTAAAAATGTGTTTAGAATGGTGCGTGTTCTTCTATCTCTGCCTCTGTACATAACTGTGTGCATGTTCAAAACATTCTGAAATATAGAAGAAGCACACCAGCTAGCCCTCGAGAATCCAAAGGATGAAAGAGCATCTACAATCCAAACAGACAACATCAAAAGGTACACAGTCAGGGGCCAAGGAGCAATGTATAAGAGGCGTGGGGATGAGTACGCTCTTTGAATGAGAATCAAGTGATGGGATGCTGATAGGGTACAGCTGCAGAAAAGATGATCCTGACCTATTCCTGACTGATGGCGTCTGTAGTTTTCTCCAAAGGCCACAAGGCCGATAGCAATAGTCTGGAGACAGGGCCGAATGGCTGGAGTGAACTGAAGGGAGGAATGAACAAAAACACAGATAGACTTTAAATTCCAATCTGTTACCAATGGTTCATTTAAAAACAAAAATAGACTACAATTAAAACGACAATCATTCAACCAGAGAGAGTGAAACAGACAATATCGGGATCTTAGATGAGTCTTAGACATTATAAATTGATGCAGACAGTACTAGGGAGGTTTCATCATTTTTTCCCTTTAGTTTGATTTAGACCTCTTGTCCACTGAGGGTTCGGCCTCTCTCATTAGACTCCACTAAGAACAGAGACTATGGCTGTAAAGAGGAGCATTTCCCTCCATCCATCCAAATCCTTTACTTCACATTTTGTCGAAGATGTCAGTAGTTTATGAGTACCTGCCGATAAACTAACCCCCGGTCCAGGTTTTGTCCTCCAACAACAAGATCACTTCTTTTTCTACTTTTTGTTTTTGTTTGATAGGTTAAGGGAGACTTGTGTGGGAAGCTTTATTCTGTACTTGACAAGTCCTAATATAATAACTAATATAACAAAACCTTTAGGAGGAACAGAATGTAATATGGACAGTAACATGTAAGCATACCTGTGCCAGAGCTGTAGATTATAGTAGGAGACTGTTCTTCTAACCCTCAATTACCTACAGCAGCTAAATTACCTCCTTCTTATCTTTCCCACTACCAATCCTTCTGCCAAGCAGCTCATCTCACCTGAAAGCCAAGGCAACGGCCATAGAAGCAACCCTTGTGCATGGATGAGTATTCGCGGAGAAAGCTCTCGCTGAGCCCGCTTTCATCCTTGAAAAAAAGGTTGCCATGGCTGTTGTCATGTAGCATGCGCTGAGCCAGGTAGAGCAGGGCGCGCAGCTGGCACAGAGCGTTGCAGTAGGACTCCATCTCCCCGGCATTGTGTGCTACCCGAAAGAAGATGCTGCGGCGGTTGGCGGTGATGTAGCGCCCCTTCTGGATGATGTGGAGAAGGCAGCAGCGCACAACCTAGAAAAGTATGAAGATGGTGTCGATAAAATTCTTAAAAAAAATGTATATTCCAAAATGTGATATCTACTATATGCCACCTTCTCGATACGCCTAATTAAAAGTCAGTTAAATCAAATTACAAGCGAATTAGGTAAATTATGTCATTGGGTAATAAAAGGATCAAACAAGGACAACGATATATGTAATGATATGTATTTCTGAGATAATTAATAAGAGGCTTATTATTTCTTTTATAAAAATTAATACAAAGCATTCTGAATTATAACAAAGCAAATCATGTTTCTTTACTTGTGCAAATAATTAAAGAGCCATGTCTTCTGGGTCTGCTTAAATTGTAATTAAGATTAGGTTGGTAAGCTTGATAGCATGCGTGAAAGCAAGCATGTGAAAAGCTTGCTGCTTCACCAGGGTGTAACAGATTAGTAAAAGTAGCACTGTGGGGATGAGAAGGATTATAAAATGTGGAAATCTAGAGGGTAGAAAACAGAGCAGCATTCATTTGCTGCTCTGCTAAACTCATTCAGTTGTGGTGGGCTGCAGCCATTGAAGGTCATGATGTTTCATCAATAACTGTAGAAGATAAAGTACAGTGGGTACAGTATGGGTAGATATTCTGCAGCTGGAGGAATTTATCTAACCTGATTTGCAACATAAAATCAATCTGTAAAACAAATGGACTGACCTTGAAACAAAGAAATATCAAGGCAAAGAGGGGCTGGTGAACAGTTTCTCACAGTGTGGAGAGAATATTGATAAGAATGTATTGCTGTATGGGGGCCGGGTATTCTCAAAGCTGCACTGGGCTAAAAGGAGAACACAGACACAGATCCAAGACTTGACTCATACACACAATAAGACCTGAAAATATCCAACAACCTACCTTCACCAGTGAGCGATACCCATTAGCAGGTATGTGTGGGTCAAAGTCAAAATGATGGTAAACTGCAGCAAAGCCGGAGATAACGGGCTCCAGACTGTGAGCGTGTTCCTGGATCAACTTCATGACATCCACCAGCCGCCGTGCTGCATCACCCTGCGACCCCTTGGCTCCTCCAGAGAAGAAAACTGCATTCTCTTCGCACACACTGTATAGAGCTGCAAACACTGCCTTGGTGTCCATCACTAGTAGCAGTGAAAAAAAGAGAAGCATGGCAAAGGTTGAAACCAAAACAGACGTATGTATGCAAGGGTGCTTGTGCATAACAAAATTAATAAATGAATAATGGGATTCTTTATGTGTAAAATTAAAAGATATAGTATCATTATTTTCTGTAGTTCACTGTCAGTTTCTGGTCCTGCAAGTATAAAAAAAAAGGAGCACCCTGATCCCTATTCTGCACCACGCCCACACTCAGCATTAGACACTGTGGCAGGTGGGATATCATTGGATATATCCTACATAATGTTTTCTTACTCCTATTAACTAATCCCTGATGGCCTGGCGTATAGAAGCTCATTGACTGAGACGTGTTAAGCAAGCCTTGAAATTAAATGATGTAAATCCTGGCTAAGCAGCCAAAATCCACTGAGATCTAGGCAGACATGCGTGGAACAGGAGGAGAAGGCAGAGGTCCTTTGCAAACGTCATGCTGCTGGGAACAAACACAGATTAGTCATACACTGACAAAAGCTTGGAAACACGCTCACATAAGAGTCCCAAAGGGAGCTATACAGCTGACAACACACAGCTGAGTGTGTTTATCAAGAGTGCCCATGTCCCTGCCCTAATGCAGCAGAAAAAAGATCCAGCGCTATGTCCCGGTTGGATTCTGCTAAGTCACCTGAGACCTCTGTTTCCACAACACCTACGTCTGGAAACCTGCTGGTATTTACTGTATAGGGTAACTGGCATGCTGAGAGATAATGGAAAGAGGAGAAGGCTCGGTGGACATGCAGTGAATAAAAGAAAAGGAAGGGAGATGGCAGTGCCTTTCTGATAGATGAGAAAATGTAAATTTTAGGGGCGAAGAAAGTCATTTCTTTGTCATGTATGGGTGTTGACCAATGATCTTGCAGGACTGAAGCACATTTAGCCATTATGGAGAAATAATATATATCATTCAGTTAATATTGGCCTATTGTAGACATATAGATACCAATAAGTCTGCAACAGGCCAATATTAAGCATATATGTTGGGTGTATATAATGCAGAAAAAAAGTCTTGTGGTAATATACTGGTGTCAATGCAAAGTTTATCCAGCAGAGTGCACTGCGATTTTCCAATACTGTGGCAAGCAGCACGAGAAAGAGAGAGGAAGCAGGTCTCAGCAATGTCAACTAGAAATTGGCTGACAATGTAAATGTAAAAATATAGTGCGGAAACGTCTGCCACAGTGTTTTGTTTCGAAAGTGACGTTTGAGGTGGCTGGTATGTTTGTTGTATGTTTGTTCACAGCACACAGTTTACACACGCATGCACTAGAAATTCAGTGCAACTGAATTATCTTGCAATGTTAATGACAGTGAAAAAGAATTCATGCATCCGCTCCAAAATGTAACTGCTTCTTCCTTGGCCCATGCTATACTCTTCCACCAAGTTTCATGAAAATCGGGGCAGTGGTTTTGCCATGATCCTGCTGGCAGACAGACAACAAACAAACTGTACCAAAATAAAACCCCCTTGGCGGAGGTAATAAATCAATTTGAAAAATAAAGCTAAAAACGGCACAGACGCCCAAAGCAACATCTTGGAATGTGGAGCGGAGGTTGCTTATGTATGCTAAAAAACAATCATATAATGGAGCCCTTATTGCACAATTATTCTGCTATTCCCTGCCATTCAGGAAGAGTAACAGGATGAGACCGTTTGAGTTTGCTGGGAGGAATCACAACCCCTTGACTTCTGGGAAGAGACATTTATAAGCCAGGCGACTTAAACGCACACACACACAGAATGACATATCTTCAGACGTTGCCCATTTTCTCTCACTTTACGTTTTCTCAAAGCTTTTTCAACCGCACCCTACAAGGCAAGACGCTCGTATACGGACACATCTTTCCATATTGGATGCCAAATTGTCACAAAGAAGTGTTTAGCAAGGGATAATCACATTTTAGAATGGGTAGAACTGAACACGGTTGCCATCAAGCACATGGTGAATGTCCCATTCATTTAGGGGGCATTCCTTGGCCCTGGGGTATAAAGATAAGCCAAAGATAGGCCGAAACAAATCTGCAGTGCCAAACGAGCAGACTACAGAACAGCACTGCAAAGGGGATAGGTATTTGATTACAATATCATGTTCTATGTACTCCTACAAACCTTAATGAAGCAGCTTGGGGCCTAATTTCACATCGATTCAACCATGTGAATGGAACAGTCTTTGACATAAGTTCATCCCATGACTCCACACTAAAACAGAATATACATTGTGCTATTCTAATGTTATCAGACAGTAAAGCTATAATACACAAAACTGTGTCTCTAAACTGCTTGAATTTGAATCTTCTTCACATCAGTAGTGATCTTGAATTCGAGTTGATTCATTGACATTAATAAATAAAAAAATATATAACATTAACATTATGGGCCTTTTTTTTTTTTTTTTTTTACAATTTTCACTGGAACATTTGCTTAGCAATGTCTTTCTGGGGATCATCTTCAAGGGAGTGCCAGACAAAACAGAGGTGTACAGGATTATGAGAGAAGACAAAGCGTGAGTGAATTGTTTCTCCACCCACTCACCTCAAATGTTATGCAAACATTAATCACACAAATGAATCACAAACACCTGTGAAGGAGGCTTCTAGTACTTGCAAGTGTCATGTCAAAATAATTCAACAGCTAACAACACACATACAGTTCTGGGATTATTGCTCCATCTCAGGATTTGACCAGGAACCAGTTGATTATGCGCTGAGCCTGACAACACGAGTTATTTCATGAGCAACATCTCAATTCATTACTTCAGCATAAAACTGAAAACACCAAGAGACTTCACTGTTTTTAAATGTGAACATCTACCAGCTACAAATGCTCAAATTCACCAGCCACTCAACAGGTAATCCTCATTTTGTCTCTGAAATAGAGCAGCCACTTTCACATTCTACCAGCATATGGCTGTTGCTAATTTCCCCCCCTGCAAGAGACACACAAAGAACATCTATAAATACACCTTCATCTGCCTTAAGGGACACAATGGCTGCTTTGGTCAAGCAGGCACCCAAACACCATGCTGCAGAGCGAGCTATAGCAGTAAAACCAGTTTGGGCGAGCAGCCAAAATTAGATTGCTTAATTAGAGCGGGGGGAACAACTCTCTCAGCTGGGCTAACCGATAGGCCTTATGTTGACAGAGTTAGCTAGGTGTGAACTTCATGAACCCCTGGATCAGCATAAGCTGTTCTAAAACTTGCTTAATGATAATGAAGCCAGCTCACATTACACCCCTATCTAACTGCAGGGAGTGAGTCATATGCAAATGTGATGCAAATGAACACACAGTTCATGCAAACCAGTACAATCTTATCGAGAGCTCACTCAGGAGTACAAACATGGCCCAGTGTAGACTTAATACCCCAAACAGAGGGATGATAAAGCTGCCACTACACTCACACCAGGACAGTCAATACATTATATATGGGAGTAAGGAAAAACATAACTCACCTGCTTGCCTTATCACCTCTGACTTTTGTGCATCAGCAAATACTCTACAATACGCCACCTCCAGCTCATCTGTCAATACGGAGCCTCATCCCCTCCCGTGTTACTGACAGAAGTGGTCACGGTAATCCCACTGCAACCGTTAAGTTGCACCTTGTCTCTCCACATTAAAGATGGATGGGAGTGGGCATTAATAAGTCATGTATAACAACCAACAGCAGTGACATTACAGGTGTATAATGACTCCTGCTGGGCCCACGTACACTGTGAAATGAGGGTTCGTATTGAACTACATGCAGGCTGCTTCTGGCATAGCATATAACTGATGGTATGGACTAAATATTGAAAAGCTGAAAGAGAGAAAAAAGGTGAAAGTGTTTACCAGTGTCTGAGTTCAAGGCTCTGTCCTTGTCTGTCTCCTCTCTTCCACGAAAGCAATGAGGGGGGAAAAAAGAAATAGAGAATGAGAAAAAGAGAGGGATGGAGGGATGACAGAGAGGAAAGAGATGGGGTTTTTCCGGTTGGTTTTGTTCTCCCTCACACGGTCAGTCCCTCGTCTTTACAATGTGCCTCTTCTCGTCAGCCTCTGTGTGCCAGTTTGTCATAACCGTTTGTACTCAGAGGCAATGCGATGTCCTTTTCTTTCCTCTCTGCTCGTCCCTCCCATGCCTTGTTCTTAAAAAAGGGGCAGGGAAGCTCCAGACAACCCCAACCCAGTCAACTCTCCCTGTGACCGAAGGCCAACATGCTATTGGTGCTTTAGCTTGCAACTCCCTGTGACCTTCACCCCAGTTGGCAGATCTAGTACAGACAGACATTGGCAGGGACACAACCATGAGATTATGAGATGATAACAATATTTCAGTTGTGGCTTTTCTTGCTTTTCTTGCATCTTGTGTGGTTCAAGGCCACGGAACGAATGTAAACAAACAACAGTAGAAGTTATCAATTCATCTGCTGATTAACAGTCAAAAAACGAACCAAAACAGCGTACGAATGACAATAATAAACAAAGAAAGGGGAGAATAATATCCTCACATGTTGCTGTAACCAGCCCAGCTAATGTTTGGAAAATCCACTTGACAATAGTCCAAATTGTCACAATCAACTGTTTGATCAATCAACTCATCCTTTCAGCACTAATCACCATATTTAAAGTCATGTACCTACCACTGCTATTGAAGTGCTGTCTTTTAGTAGTGTGACACTTGAACATGTATGTAGCACCTTTGAACATATATCTGCTGTTTGCGTATGCAGCAGGAATGTGCTGTATGGGCCAACTGTTGAGAAACACCAGTGTTTGGCAATGAACGCAGAACATGGACAAAGCGTGCACACCCAAAACACAGGGTGAAAATGTAACTTGGAGAATCTATTTCAAGGGAAGATGTGACCTTAGTTGAGACTTCTGGGCTGATGTAACAGATGACAGCCCCATCATTTGAAAGAACTGAGTCCTGACCTTTTACCGACAGAGACGCACAAACATACCCAGGAACACTGACACATAGACTCTCCACTAAGGCCCATTTTGGTTGTTTGTTTTTATTGTTGCGGTTATTGATTGCACCAAACAGTCCCACCCGTTGCTCTTAATGCTTGGTTTATGCATATTGGCTTATACCATGAAAGACATTTTGCTATATGATTGTAGGAAAAGCGCAGGTGTGAATAAAATTAACAAGTTCCTTCAGTTTCAGGGTCCTGGTATTGTGCATCACTGTCACACTGTCAGAGCTGTTATCTATCTATCTTTATCTTTCAGTAACACCTGTGCTTTTTCATCTATGAAATATCAAAATATCTGTTGGTAAAAACACAAATTAGCTGCGAGATAAAAACCTGTTAAGAAAGCTCCAAGAAATTTGGTGAAAAAAAAAAAAAAAGAAGAAGTTGTCAACTGTATCCAATTATTTTCTATCTGTATATTTTGATATTCTTACTTGTTGCAACCTCACGCAACAGGTCAGATTGGGTAAAAAAAAATATCTTCTGTTTCTTTCTATTCTATTTCTTTTATTGAAATATATATAGTCGACAGTTATGCATAATCTGGTGACTGACGCACTTCCGTGTCATCTTTTTATAGTTCCTTGTCCTCTTCCACTGCATGGGTAAGTGCAGTTGCAAAAGGCAGGCTAACTTACTGTTTTATCACTTCAGCTGTAACGTCTGTACACAAAGACGCAAACAAGAAGTTGTCCTTTTGTCCGGAAAAACCTGCTTGTTTACACGTATGACACAGCAATTAGAGCCGTGCTGCTCCCTTCCACACTAAAAGGTTTAGTCTAATGTGGAGAAGGCTTTGAGCTACTTCTTAATGTCAGTGTGATTAACTGTGCTGATCTTGTCTCGACCGTTTCTAACTCATTGCTCTCTTGTGTTTCTCTTTATCAAGCCCAAACAGACCACATTTAGGGGGGAAATGTCTGGGTAAACGGAGAAAATAAAAACACAGAAGCTGTTCCTAGAAGAGGAACTCTGAAGACGGCACAATGTCGTCTTATATCTATGAAAGAAAGTCTCAACATGTGACACATGTTAACCCAGACAGAACTTATTTTCCCTTTCTTCTACAAGATATGGTATCTGGTCAGTGTTTTGGAGCTTCGCCTGACATCTGATACTCTACAAAGTGTCATGTCTATAGGAAGCCAGCTTTAAAAATAGCAAACTGGTGCAGTGCACAGTCAAGAGGAAGCACCAACAACGGGGGATCTGTAGTGTTGTGTTTGGATTCAGTGGCTTTGACCCTTCTCCTAGACAGACCACCTTCACACACACACACACACACACACAAGGCGAAACTGAATAACAGGAAACTAGCAACAATGAGCCTCCACACCCCCCAAATGGGACACATAAGGCTTCCCTTCAGTTTTATAATGCAATGCTTTAAACGAAAGAGATCAGATTTTCAGGTCTGACGAAAACTGAGCGCATTTGTAACCTCACACAACAAGTTAGATAAGGTTAAAACCTCCCCTAATCTCATTATGGAAGCCTGAGTGTTTTACAAACACCCCATTCAGAAAAGAAAAAATTGTTGCAGCAAACACACACACACACA